TTATTGAAAACATGAGAATTCCTACTGTAGACTGCAAAGGAAAACAAAAGTAGAAATTACATAAAATTAAAAACTTAAAGCAAGACTATGACAGTCTTTCTGTGCAAATGATTGCGATCAGGATGTGATTTTTAGCTGACTTTCTCAACCTTTCATGAACTTAGGGGAATTTAAAATTAACAACTATTTTATAAAAGTAACAGATGCACATGGGTGTCAAATAAGGAAACTTTCTTTGAATTTTCCCAAGGAGATTTATGATGACTTCATCACAGGCTGGAAGGGATGCCTAGAACTAATTTGGTCCAAGCCTCCTACTCAAAGCAGTGTCAGCTACAGAGGGTTATGGAGGACCTTGACCAGTTGAATTCTCAGTATCTCCAAGGACAGAACCTCCAGAATCTCCCAGTGCACCTTTTCTAATATTCTACCTGCCTCACAGGAACAAAAAGAGTTTAAAATTTTAAATCAGTTTTTCTTTGTTTTTCAGTTTTTACCTGCTGTCTTATCAATGTACATCACTGAGAATAGTCTGTGTCTTCTTTACACTATTCCATGAGGTAGTTTTTATGCATGTAGACAATATGTCCCTCCCAGTCTTCTCTTCTCCAAGCTAAAAAAGCCCAGGTCTACCAGCCTTGCCTTGCATATGGGATGCTGCCTAACCATCATTAAGGTAGTTGATTAGACCTGATTTGGATGTCCCTTCCTCCTTTCTACTAGGGAGCCCATTGCTGGACCCAGTATTCCAGATATGGCCCCAACAGCCCTGAGTAGAAAGGAATGATGAACTCCATCGACCTTCTGGCAACATTTCCTAAAGCAGCATAGGAGGCTGCTGGCCCTCTTTGTACAAGGGCACAGCACTGGCTCATGTTCAACTTGATGTTCACCAGAACCCCCAAGATCCTCTTCTGAAATCTGCTGCCCCAGTGTGTATTAGTGTAGAGAGAGGTTTATTCCTCCTTAGATTTTGGACTTTGCAACACCAGTCAGAAAAACAGAGAAAAATCACTTTTAGAGCTATGCTCACACAGATGTACATTGCCATGCACCTCTGAGCTCCTCACACCAGTTTTGTTTCATGCAAAAAAAGCCACTGCCAACATATATATCAGACTGTCACAGAGACACTGCCAGTTCTGGTCTCAGTGTGCCAAGTGCACACATTATGTAAGCATATCAAGTGCTTGAGGATATGTAAGGACGTTTACAAAAGTGTGTGCACAGTTGTGCAGACCTGTATCTTAAAATACAGTTCTGAGTTTTCTCTCTGTTGATATCCCAGACTCCACTTATAAAACCAGCTGATGAAACCCCATTTGATGAACTCTAACAGATCACCACTCTATCATTCTGTAAAGCAGACTCCCTTCCATAACAGAGATCTGCATCTTTTTCACCCCATCTTCTTACTGTTACCAATATTTTTCCTTTCTTTTTCTTTGGAAAAAAATCATGCTGACTCATTTTCTTGTTGCTGTACTTTCTCCAGTTTTGACCATGACAACTATTACTATAAGGAGGCACAATGTAAATACTTAGATTTTTAATTTCTGCTACATTATACAACAAAAATGTGACGAAAGGACCAAATCTTACTCACCTTCTTCAGAAGACAGCTCATTAAAAATTACTAACAACTTTTAGTATAAGAGCAGGAATTGACCTGAAGTCTTTAGAAAACCAACAATAAAAGGAGGGTCTACTTTGACTTGCATTCCTAAAGGAACATTAACTAGAATTAGGATGTTTCAATTTAGATTATTTTTATTTCTTCATTCCCTTCTGTTAACATCTCACTACTTCTATAAGAAAAAGATATCAGAGCAAGTAAAGAGAATGTAATATCTATGAGGCCCTATTAAGGTGGAGACTTAATTTGAAGTTTCATTTTTCAGTAACATTTTTTTTTAGTAAATAGGTTTTTAAATACATCACAGTGTAAAGATACCCTTATTCAATCTCAGCATTTTTTGAGTAAAAGATCTTAATATTTAGAGAAATCACATTTGTCAGATACAGATTGTTCAGATGCAGCCTTTGCTTACTGAGTGCTGGGTAGCGGCTGAGAGAAGCCATCATTCTAGGCACACCCTGTTTTTGTATCTTTGCTTATTTTTAAATGAAATCTCTGCTACCAGCAGCCATCAGGTTTGAGCTAGATGGAGTGATATGGTCTAATCCAGTGTGGACTTTATAACATTTTCTGTTTCTTTGCTACTTCATCTTTTTTTCACCATCTCCTTTGTTTTTCTTTCTCTCAGTTTTTAAAAAATAAGCGTGACTTTCACTTCCTCTGCTTCTACAGCTGAATCTTCTTTTGTTGGCACATCAGTGTATCCTTTTTCTACAGGTACACTTGCAGCTTTGTCTTCTTGTTCACATTACATCACTATCCTGCTCTGATGTCTGCCTAATATTCCAGAACTGATATGCCCATGACCAACATATTTTTTTGTCCTCATGACTTTTAACCTGCTCAGTTTCTAATGCATTATCTCCACTTCACATTTCCTTCCCTTCCCACAATTTCCAGATTTCTTCCCAGAGCTCCCTTCTCCAGAACTAGAAGATTTGCTTTTGTTTATTTCTTTCCAAGTCTTTGCACCTTTCCTATTTGTTACCTTGTTTAGTCTTGTAGGATAAGTGAATTACAAAAGGAAATTCTTCTAATTTTCCAAGTCAGGTGTGTATTTAAGAGTCTCAAATGCACTAGTGCCAACAGGAGTTGGACTAGGTGATCTCCAGATGATCGCCAGAGGTCCTTCTAACCCTAACAATTCCATGATTCTATGAAATCCTGATATATTCAAAGAGCATAACATTACGGTGTCTGCTAATTTTCCAAGGAAAACACAGCACAAACAAGATTTAGTATTCTCTTAAGACAGTGACACCAACTTCTCAAAAGTAAGAGTGCCATGCAACACCTCAGGTAGATCACTAACTGAACATTAGTGATGACCTTAATTGATAGAATGCTGTTCCCTTGTGAAATGTTATAGTCTGGTAACATAAACAGCTACTTGCTATTATTATTTCTGGGTGGAAAAGCAAGATATTTTCTTTAATAAGTTTTGGAAGACAGAACTTGTCATGTTACCCAGCGCAGTGCTGTGCATTTTGATCTAAAGCAGTGAACTAAGTAAGCCTTCATCCCACATGCTGATAACAGTGGTTTCTGAGCAGCATACTACTCTCCTGACTATTTAAAACTAAGGATGATTTAATGCATTCCTGTCCCTAAGCTTTTTTCTTCATCATACTTTTTCTTCCTATCCAATTAGATTCCTATTCCAGATCATATTTCATATGCACTACACCAGTCTTTTTGCTAAAATAAAGACTAAATCTCTGAGAATATTTATTACTCCTCTCCTTCTATTTATTTTTGGGTTTTTTTAAATCTTCATTTCCCACCTTTCCTCACAAACACACCAAAAAAGTTAATGTCTCATATGGCTTTCCTCAGCTATAGAAGGGTGGGGATGTGAAGCATATCTTGTAAAATGTGTGTCAAACCAAACCAGTGGTTTCCAGAGAGTTTCTCACACCTACCAGTTGTTACGGATAGCACAGTATTATCAGAGTTATTTAAAACAGTTTTAGATTAGCCAAATGTCAATCTCGCAGCAACTGCACAACCTTCAGGACATCTTTGTGTACATGACAGACTTCCAGCTGCGAAATGATTGCTTAAAAAAACTGTGTACTTTCTAAATGAGCATGTATCAATTGTTTTCTTAACAGGGGAAAAAATATTTAAAAGTTACAAAATAGGTTCAGCTATTCAAATGTATTATTTTGGTTCATATTAATTTTTCTTTTGGGTCTGAAAGCAAAGAAGAGAAATTTCAGTTTGTTTTCACATTTTCAATGTACTGGTTAGAAACAACTATGTCTATTCATTGCTGGGTTTTTTTTTAAAGTTCCCACTGACTTTAGTATTTTAAAAGCATGTATTTTGAGGAACAAATCAGAGGTCACAAAACTAACTTAAGTGACTTTGCACAAAGTCTTACTTGAAAATGGTGACAATTCTACTAATCCAACCAGTATCCTCTTCTGTTTGGTTTGTTAGTTTGGGCTCCCCTTACTCACCAAGCCTATAACAGATTTCTTTATATATTACACTGATGAAAAGAAACTCAATGGGGATTAGGCAGAGCTACAAAAAAAGAAGGTGTTTTCTTTTTCTAGTGGTGCAAAATAGCTTATGGTAGATAAGACAGATGCAGAAACTTCTGACAAAGTGTAATCAGAAAGTCATGACTCAGGGGGTACATGTATGCCCCAGTCACCATCCTGTGAAGAAACCACATGGAATTAGCTGCACAAATTCCCAGTCTTTAGGAAACAGCCATTTATGCTGGTTGATCTTGCACTGAGGCATAGTCTCAAGTATGCGATAATACATTCTGTCACCATGGAAAGGAATGTACATAATGTAACACCAAAGAATAAATTAAAACATTATATGCTGGCAAAGCTTTCATTCTTATTTCAACACAAACAAAGGTTTAAAAACATGTAGAAGGCAAGCACAAGTTCTCAGAGTAGTTTTTGCATTTCACTCACTCAGTTTGCACCTAATTTTGGTTTAATTTTCTCATGTCTCTAGTTGAACTGAGCTAGTTATCTCTTAACTATTCAATTAGGTATACTCAATGAAAGACTGTAAAGAAAGCTATTGCTACTTCACCCTTGAAGGGTGTGACTTTCGCCTTGATCTGTAGTGATAAGCAGTAAAATCCTGTTTGTCTTACATAAAAGCATCGAGTGAAATCAGAAGGATATGTTCTTGGTGAGGGGACCAAGATTTGATCCAAAATTGTACTATTGTAAGGATACAGACATTCTGCAAAATTTGTAGTCACACACCTCTATGCCTAAAACAGAAAGACAAGTTAATGCTTTTCCTGAAAGTTTCTATTATGTAGTACTTAACAAAGATCGCACATGAATACGGCTTTAATTAAAGATAAGTTGCCTCCTACCCAGAAATTGCTGCTAGTTTTTGATGAGCCTGATAGGCCATCTCACATCCTCGGGTTCGAGTTTTGTGCAATTCTGCATGCAGAGAAGGACAGGTGACTGAGACATCCCCAATAGAAATGACCAGCTCCCGATAGAGAGCCACCTGGGTATTGAACTCCTGGACAAGCTGAAAAACAAAAACGATTTACATGAGAATTTTTAACTACATTGGTAAAAACAATCCATTTTTTTAAAAACATGCCCAATCTAGGGCCTGTTCCTGCTTCTCACAATTTCACAGCACCCAGGACCAAGAGCACACGATTCAGGAAACAACTAGAGCCTCCATGGCAGCTCCTTCTTCTGTGAGCTACAAATGTTCATCTGTAGGAAAGTAGTGTTTCTGCTTTTAATATCTGAAAGTGTTTGAGTTATTAGTATTAAATATTAAGCAGACAAAAAAACATCTGCTTTACTAGTAGCATGAGGTTATTTTTTGCTACCATGAAAGGCGAAAATATCTCCAGAAATTACTGCCTTTGCTTCTCCTACTTCCTGATTAACAGCATGTTCAGGGACTGGAATGTAGCATTTGCTTTTAAATTGGCAATTTTGCTAACTTTATTTGTAATGATTTCTGTTCTGTCACTTTCCTTCAACCCAGATTTCTGACTTAAAACTCATCTGCTGTAACTGACTGAGAAGATGCACCAGATAGGCACTTTCCTGCTAAAATTCCAGAAAGCACCTTTTCTAAAGTGCATGTAAGAAAAAGAAACGAGTAAATAAACACTACAACATGTACAGAAATCTAATATCCAGCAGATACATACAGATGTTATTGGATAAATGGATAATTTCAGCACGATGGAAAGATCATTATTGTTTAGTTCCACTGATCACGTACATGGAATGATATTTTAAGGAAATGAAGCATTTGCTGTCTTCTGAAAGAATGCATATAAGATCATTTGCTCCACATGGTGGCGGGGGTGGAAGGATTAGAGTAATAGAACAGAATATTTATTTATCTGTATTTTGACCTCAATTTCCAAACTACATAAAAACAGACAAGAGTAATTGCTCATAATTCTGCAGTCATCCTTACCACCAGAAGTTCAACATATCCCAACATAAAAACATACTAAGAACCTGGAGTCTATCAGAGCAACCAATTTTTAAAGTCAAGTCCTCAGATTCTCATACTCAGGAAATAAACTAGTCTCCTCTGCAGTATTATATTCATACCCTTCATGCATCCCACTGCAATTAACTGTATAGTTGAGAACTGGTATCAAAAATAGTTTTGACCATGCTTTCTTAAACTTCATTTCAAGAACAACAAATAGGTTCCTCTGCTTCAGGAGCAGCAAGTCAACCCAAGTGCATTTCAGTATATCTGCATCCTCCCACATCCAGATCCCAAACAAACCCAAAAGCACACACCAAAGCAAGCTCTAGGCACAATATTTGCTAAACAAGTCCTCAACTCTTATTCTTTAGCTTAAGAGAATGCATGAAGGCAATAGAGAGGGAAAAAATGGTACTGTGTTGTGTCATAGTGTGATTATTCTGCAATAGGAAGAAAAGTGTCGCATCCTGCAACTGTAACTGGTTGCACCAGACACATTTGGCCAGTTCTCACCTGACATTCCTTGTTTAAACAGACTCATCCAGTCACCTTAGCACTGCCCAGGAAAACAAGACCACACATATGTTGCTGAATTGAGACACAGAACAAGAAAAAAACCACATTGAATTCACCTCCTGAATCCTACCACAACTTGATAGCCCACCTATAAAACATATTTTATTTCTAATCAGTCAATTCTAAAAACTTCTCTGTAACTAACCACATTACTCTGTTGGGAATAAGAAAAAAGGCAGAACCTAGTAAGATCCACTTGTTGGGTATATTTATAGACCTACTGTGGCAGCTTTTGTTCCTCTATGCACTGGGAATTGCTCCCAGTCTTGAAGTATCAGAGCGGATAATCTGCCAGCACATTTTTCATCACCAGAGGAAAAAAAATTGCCAGAATCCAGCAGAATAGAAGTGGTAGCTCCACTGCTACTGGACAGAGCTTTAGCCAGGTATAGATTTGTCCAGAAAAGTAGCAGCGACTTAATTTTTTTTTTTCTACATCTGTCACTAGCTAAAGGGATAATTTTGGGGCCCAGTAGCTCAAGAGGGGGCATATGGTGCTGATTTGAAGGAAAGCATTTTGAACACGACTGAGGAGAAATCTCATACCAGAATGTGACAGTCCATAAATAACACAGATGCAGGTGTTTCACCTGAGGTTTTACAACTGCAACCAGCTACTCTGAGAAGACTAGTAACAGGTGCCATATAGATCAGGGACAGAATTTCAGGGCCTCTAATTCTGTGTCTCCTTATTTAGAAGGATATTAGGGCAAGCATGCGGTTGCTGCAAAAGACAGCAAGTAGTGCAGTGATTCATTGGAGGCAACTATTTACCTATTTAGGCTCCAGTGCACCCAAGCCTGGGTACAGATTTGGATGGATCTGGTACCAAAAAGCAACTCCAGCTGCTTTTCAGTGTGCGTAGTGGGGCGAGGACTCCTGGTCCGGCAGGACTATCCGCTCCCCGTCCCGCAGCCGGCTCCCCGCAGGTCCCCTCGAACCTCCCGTCTCCCGCTTTGGAACCGCGGCGAGTTGGGGCGCAGGGCAGCACCCCGGCGGGGACTGCGGTTTTAAAAAACAGTGCAACTGCACGTGATGGGAATAGCCAAGGCGACGGGAGGCACGGCACCGCTGCCTGCGAGGGGAGAGCTGGCAAAAGGTAAAAAACTACGGCAAGCCCGCCCGGGGTACCCACCATCTTACAGTCGTCCAGGGTTCTCTGGGTCTGGTAGGCGCTATCGGAGCCGCTGCCCCGGCGTTCGCTGTCGCGGCCGTGCGGCGAGGTCCTGCTGCCCTGGAAGATGGAGGCGGCGGAGCGGGGGCGCTTCCTGCGCCCGCTCGGTGCAGCGCTCATGCACACGCATCCGCCGCGCGGAGCCGCCCGCGGGCGCGGGCAGCGCCTTCCCCGCCGCCGCCGCCGCCGCCCGCCGCCCCGGGCACGGGTGCGGGCCCGCGCCGCTCGTCGCCTCGGCCGGGCCGGAGCCGCGCCGCTCACGGCAGCGAGCGCGGCTGCTGTGGGCGATAGCCTGGCGGCTGCGGGAGAGCCCGGGGAGCGCCCTGCAGCATCGCCTCCGCTACCGCGGGGAGAGGCGGAGGGGCTGGCGCCTGCCCTCCTTCAGCAGCATGTCAGTCCCCACGGAACCGCCCCGCCGGTGGCATGCTCCGCCGTCCTCCTTCGCGCAGCCGACGGGGGGAGAGGGAGGAGCGCGACCGTGCCCGCTGGGGAAGAGCTCCCATGCACCACCCGGTGCTCCCGGCGGGGAAGCCCGACCGGCCGCGTGTGGCCGGGCACCCGCCGGGAGCGGCGCTGAAGGTCCGGAGGGGCTGGCGCCGTCAGCACCCCCCCCCCCGTGGGGCGGGAGCGCCGCGCCCGCTCCCGCCGCGCCCCGAGCCCGCCC